TAAATAAATAAATAAATAAATAAATAAATTAAATAAATTAAATAAATAAATAAATAAATAAATATTTTAAGCATGATTGTGGGTTGGTCGGAAGATAGGTGAAAATACCAACAATATTTAACAATGTTTTAGAAATTTAAGAAAATGACTTGTGATTTTATAGTGGAAATCTTGCCATCCAAGAGGCCTTGATTCTCCCAATTAGCAAAGATAGCTGTTGCAGTTAGTAAAAACGTTTCAGTTTGGTAGCCATATCAATCTGTTGCAGTGAAAAGGAACAAAAACATTGTGCCTCCTTTAGAGTAATAAATATATTTCCTTGTCAGGTTCCTCTATTACGGTCAACAATCTTATTTTGTTCTTGTTTTAACTAGTATAAAGCTGACATTTGATACACACGTGTTCAGGATAGACTTCTTACTGGATAAGTCTATGGGTCTTAGCAATAGAGTGCCAAGTGTGACTCACAGTAGCAGTCACTAGAAAGCAAACTGAATACAGGAGTCCATTTCTTGTTGGGCATGAAGGATGAAGGAGTTACAGTGAAACCTATGAGCAGATGTTTGAAAACATCTGCAGTATATACCGTATTTTTCGTTTCATAAGACGCACTTGATTATAAGACACACCTTGCATTTGAGGCGCCATTGGGGTGAAGAGGTATGCACGTGGAGGCGCAGGGGGGAAAGTCAGGTTGTGGCGTGATTTCCCCTCCTTTTCCGGCACTCTAAACACCTTTTCTTCCCCTGGATCACTTTCTTCCCATACGTCTTTCTTTAACACCACTCTTTCCATTTCTTTCACTTGTCCTCCCTCCTCTCTCGTGAGAATGATGACGCCACTGCGGGCTCCAGCAACGAGGCGTGGCTTTGCCCTGCTCCCCCAGATGGCACACGAGACTATGATGCTGTCTCATGAGAGCAGCTTGAGAGGAGGAGTGAACCAGAGGGCATATAAGGTCGCTCACCCCCCTGACTTCCTCCTTCATAGGGAAAGCTTTGCTGTTCGGCTGGCCATTAGGCCACCACGTGGGACAGCCCTCGCGGCTGCCTTGGAAAAGGCAAGGGGGATGGACTTTTGAGGACCCAGGCAGGCAGTTTTAGCAGCTGTTCTCCCGCCACTCTAAACACCTTTTCTTCCCCTGGATCACTTTCCTCTCATACGTCTTTCCTTAACACCACTCTTTCCATTTCTTTCAACTCTCCTCCCTCCTCTCTCATGAGAAAAATGTTTATCCCCCTCTTCTCCCCCTCTCGTGACTCCTCCCTCTCTTCTCCTACTTCCCCCTCCTCTATCCATTCCTGTTTCGTACCGTTCCATCTCTCCTTCTTTTGTCACTTTAAACTTTTTTTACAGTATTCGCTCTGTAAGACGCACACACTTTCCCCCCACTTTTAGGGGGAGGAAAAGCGTGTCTTATGAAGTAAAAAATACAGTATATCACATCCTGTACTCATTTATCGAAGTTTTTGACAGGGCCATATCACTTCAGCCATATGGCTTAGTTTATTTTGTACAGGTTGTGGTAGAAAGCAGATAGCCCACTGTGGTCTGTTGTTCAGAAAGTAAGATTTGTTTGTACCCATCCAGTAATTGCTGTGGTAGATCAATCAGGAGCTTCAGCAATTCATATATAAATATAAATGTCTATGTGATGTACATATTTTATGTATATTATGAAGATGAGGCACCAAGTAATGCTAACACTTTGGACTAGTCAGAATTTGTAAATGTAAGCTAAATAAATGTTTGGGAGGGGGAAACACACTTGTCCTGCGCCTTCCTACATGTATGTTTAGTTTGCATTTCATAATGGCTGAGTGAGGCCACTCTCTGCAGTGCTTCTGAAGAACAGAAGATCAAGCTTTCAGTAGTCTGTGCTCAGTCAGGTTGTGAGGGTAGGGCTCAGGACCAATTGGCTTGAGTCTCTCCTCACAAGAAGGCCTCTCTTCAGCCTAAAATATCAAGGTGATGTTAAAGAAATTATCTTGCATTTGATGAATTTTTTTAAAACCTTGCCCTTCGGTATATTAAAATATTTTTCACCCTTCTTCCTAAACAGTGAGGGAGCCTCACAGTGTGAAATGGCCCAGGTCTCAGCTCAGCTCTCAGAGGGCTTCTGCCCAGTAATTTGACTGAATGCCTGCCATAGTTTTTGCTCCATAAGACACACTTCACCTTAAGACAAACCTAATTTTTAGAGGAGGAACACAGGGAAAATATATTCTGAGCCAAATAGTGTAATAAAATATTTAATAAACTATAACAGAATAACATTTGAACCATGTAAAGTGAACAGCAGTCAACAGTGGCATTAATATAGACCATTATCAGCCAGTGATAAGACCTATACCACTCTACTTATATTTTACATTTCCTTTCATCCACCTCCTCCCCATGCTTATAGAAATGTCTCAATGACAGATGATATTGTTGTGCAACTCTGCCCATCTACAGCTCAAGCCTATATTAAGTTAGAAATGGTTTGTCTGATTTGGCACTGCATTGAGAGGTCCCTTTTAGTTGTGTGGAGGATAAATAGTGGAATTAAACTATTTAACAGCTGGTTTTCCTTATTTACTTTAGGTTATGCAAAAGAACAGCAACACAAAGCTTAACCTGATCCCATTCACCAGCAGTAGCACATGCTCAGCATAAGACCAAATCTCCATTTTCTGACATAATTGAAC